ATTGTTGGCTATTGCTACAAATATACCCCAGCGACTTAAGACTGCTTTTGTGCTCCAGGGTCACATTTATTGAAGTTTTTTTTCTCTATGGAGAAAATGAGTGAGAATGCTAAAACGGTGTTTAATTTTCTCATTGATCTATTTATAATACAGTGTCCAAATATGGAAAAACTCACTAAACTTTTCCTTCTGTTTCAGAGCCCTGATTCGGTGATGCTGGCGTTAAAACTCAACGCATCCAAATTACTAGAGCGAAACATCAGGGTGAAACTATCTGTGAAGAAGGAAAAAGAAAAGAAAACTCCTCGTGATCGACAGAGAGGAAGAGGAGGAGGAGGAGGAGGAGGAGGAGGAGGAGAACCGAAGCAGGAGTTATAAGACGAGAGGACAGAACTTTATGATGAATCCTGGCAAGAAACAAACACAAGCTTCGTTGTTCAGAGGAGAGACGGCAGATCCTACAGCCAAAAGAGGCAGAGGACTGAAAAAGAGATTTAAGCACAAGAAAAAGTAACCAAATGTTCATATTTAATGCTTGTGCTTATATTTTTACAACTTTGGTGTTCTTATGTCACAAGTAAAAATGTGATTAAACACACTGGTGTTTCTGTCTTAAAAAAAAAAATTTATAACAACCTAGAAGATCTATTTAATCCGTATGCGGTGCTTATTTGTGAACCACACTCATGGACACCCGAAATGTAACTTTTTTTATTTTCTTCAGTAAAATCAATGTAATATATTTTTGTTCAATAATATTTTGTCTTTTATATTTTGCATTTTGAGATAATTTTATGGTACTAATTAATATTTATGCAATAATTATTATCCATTTTTCCCCACTGAAAACAATAGTTTTTATTTTTTACATTTTTAAATATTAAAATAATTTTTTTTTTTTACATTTTGGAAAGCAGATTAGCACCATCTGGTAAGTAAAAAAAAGTAAAAACGTGTAATGTCATGGTGTAACCACTAGGTTCCAGTATAGCTCTCTATAGAGCAGCTTGTGAATTGCATAGTTTTTAGACATAATTACACATTTTTATTAGGTGGAAGATTTTAATATATATTTAAACAATCTCAGACTACTTTTTGTCAAGCTTTAGATTTTTTTGTTTTGTTAGAAATAGTGATTTGAAGTGTTAGTTTTTGCATTATGATTACAGTCAATTATTTTGTTAGAAAGAAAACGCAAGGAAGTATTTTGTTACCCATTTTTTGATTCAGAATTTAATAAAGAAATTCAATTCATTCAATAATAATGCTTTATGTAAACACCATGAATGTGACTATTTTTTTTTACGACCATTTAGCATGTTCGAGTCATGCCCTCACTATTTTTGTGTGTTCACATACCAAGTGCCATAAACGTCACCAGATTTCATACCATTCCGATAAAGCTACGATTTGTAAAATTTCAAAACGTACAATTTTTCGAAGAACGGTACGTTACTTTCGTCCATCTAGCGGTTTAAACATAAAACTACAAGAAACTCGCAGAGGGAGATTGTTTGGTCGTCACGTGAGTTGGGCTCCGCGGATGAATCTGATGTTCGATCATGATTACAGATGATCCCAATTTCACTAACGACCTCAAAATGAAATGAAAGAGAGACGGATATCCGTGAAATACGTCTCATGAGCAGGTAAGAGCTTATATGCTGCTGTTTTTCTCACTTGATATCAGTTGTTTTAAAATAAGGTTACACAAATTTGGCAGCATTGACAGACATAACGATGGAAACTATAACTGCCAACAGACATGGTTTAGAGAGTAGCATTGTTTTGTGAAACTAGTCAATGTGATTCTATGAAACTATGTTGATTCGTGTTTTATTATGCGTGTGTCGTTTTCACATTTTGTTTGTTGTGGCTTTGTAGTAGCTTGAACTTCTTTCCTGTATTCATGGATGTGACGGTTTCCCGCGAAATCTGTCCCGACAGCTGTAAAATACAAGTAATTATTATAGGCTTACCATAATGATTTAGCATAAAGCAGAAACTCGGTTTTTAAAGATGGTTTTATGATGTACTCGCTCGTTATGTAAATTTAGTTAATTTTGAGAAAAAAAAAGTTATAAATGTTGCTTCAATTTTTCAAGGTCACTTAATGTTAATCTTTCCAATAATGTTAGCACGAGTTAATGCATTAAATATCACGAGCAAACGTTTATTAATCAAAGTTAATGGTCGTTTCTACATATATTAACACATTTTAAGTTGCATTAATGACTAATGTACAAACATGAATGAATGAACAACAGTAAATGTATTAATATAAAGTTAGATTAATAAAATGCTGTAAATAAATGCTTAATGAGTTCACGATACCCAAAGATGAAACTTGACCATATGACTATATTTGAACAACATGAGAGCAAATTGCAATTGTGTATCACAAATATCTAAGAGCAGCAAATTATGAATGTTTTATTTATTTTGGATTTTAAAAAAGAGGAAACTCTCCCCTACTTGAAACGGAGCACCTTTAAACATGCTTCATATCCCACAATACCACATTAGACGTCTCGCAGCCTTTAAAAACAACTTAAAAACATGAACACAGCAGCACGTCCTTCTTCAATCGGCTTGCTTTTTAACATTAGTCAATGAGAGATGAAGGACACTGTAAAGATCCCATCTATGAGCCTCTGCGGCGACACGTTTAATTACGTCTTGCATGTTTCATGATTTTGTGAACCCAAAAATGCCTTGTTCGGTTTGTTTTCTGTCATTCAAATACACTAAAACTCACGTCAACTTCAACAGGACAAACTCAGAAGCTCAGATTCAAAACAAAACTCTATGACGTTTGATCCCAAACGCTTTAAATCAGAATCAGTGCGTTCAGTGTTGAGAACTGGATGGAAAGGGGCGGGACAGAGCGACTGACTGATTCGACGCAGACAGGAAGTGATGTCACAGAGCTGCTGGAGGTCTTCTACTCGATGTCGTCGTCACTGACGCTCTGAGCACTCACGATACGCTGCACGAGAAGAGGGAAGCATTAGAGTTGCATTTGGGAATTTAGAAGACATTTAAATAATAATAAAACGCATGCACTAGCAGTCAAAAGTTTGAGATGAGTAAGATTTTTAATGTTTTTTTAAAGAGGTCTCTTCTGCTCGCCAAGCCTGCATTTATTTGATGCAAAAGCAGTAAAATTGTGAAATATTTTTACTATTTGAAATACCTGTTTTCTATGTGAATATCTGTTAAACTGTAATTTATTTCTGTGATGCGCAGCTGTATTTTCAGCATCATTACTCCAGTCTTCAGTGTCACATGATCTTCAGAAATAATTCTAATATGCTGATTTGCTGCTCAACAAACATGTATTATTATTATGTTGAAAACAGCTGAGTAGTTTTTCCAGGTTTCTTTGATGAATAGAAAGTTCAAAAGAACAGCATTTATCTGAAATAGAAATCTTATGTAACATTATAAATGTCTTTATCATCACTTTTGATCAATTTAAAGCATCCTTGCTAAATAAAAGTATTAATTTCTATAATTTCTTTTTTGAACGGTATCGTATATAATGTTACAAAAGCTTTTTATTTCAGTTAAATGCTGATCTTTGGATCTTTCTATTCATCAAAGAATCCTGAAAAATATTTACTCGTGTTTTAAATATTGATAATAATAATAATAAAACAAAATTTCTTCAAATTAGAATATCAGAATGATTTCTGAAGATCATGTGACACTGAAGACTGGAGTAATGATGTTGAAAATACAGCTTTGATCACAGAAATAAATTATATTTTAACAGATATTCACACAGAAAGCAGTTATTTCAAATAGTAAAAATATTTCACAATTTTACAGCTTTTGCTGTATTTCTGATCAAATAAATGCAGGCTTGCTGAGCAGAAGACGCTTCTTTTAAAAACATTAAAAATCTGACTGTTCAAAAGCTTTTGACTGCTAGTGCATTCGTCGCTTTCACACGGAGCGGATGATATATGCGCAGTTCTGTCGCTCAAGTAAACGTGCGTCACCTGGCTGATGGTGGGCAGTTTAGTGAGGAGCATCTGGAAGACTGGAGGAGGAAGCGTTTGCTGCAGGACCTGCAGGAGCTGCTGCGGCTGACCGCACACCGCGATCGCATTCGTCAGATGATCCACGCCTTTCTCATAGTCACCTGACAGACAGAGAGAGGACGAGGGTTAACAGAATCAGTGCTGTAATGCAACAAAAACTGAACACAATCTTGCTGCTCAAACTGTGTAGAACCATTTTTAATATTTGTGACCCTGCAGCACAAAAGCAGTGTTAAGTCGCTGGGGTATATTTGTAGCAATAGCCAACAATACATCGTATGGGTCAAAATTATTGATTTTTCTTTTATGCCAAAAATCATTAGG